TCTCTGGTCGTCAACGTGTACACACTTGCATATTTAATGCTTTGCCTCTGGATGATAGGTTATATGTTATAACTTATATATAACTTAACAGTAGAGTAAATAGTTCTTCAGCACATTTTCAAAACAGACCATATTTTCCTATCCTCATTCTTCTTTTTGTCCTTTTTCCTGAAGATGTTGGAACATTTTTTTTTTTTAAATTTAATGCATAATGCATCCACAACTGATACATTATGGATACATAATGGATACAGAAAGTGGATAATAGGACTGAAGGATGTCCCAGACCTTAATTCTTTATAATAGAGAATAACTGTATGTACAGTCCTTCCTTCCTTCCTTCCTTCCTTCCTTCCTTCCTTCCTTCCTTCCTTCCTTCCTTCCTTCCTTCCTTCCTTCCTTCCATGAATATATCAAATATCATGGTCAATTTTTTAACAGACCAAAACAGTAAATTTTGTGTGCCTACCACTCTTTTTTATGAACACAGCCAAACAGAATTGATTTATAGAAAGGGGTTTTGCTAGTTAGGTCATGAGAGCAGTTCTTCAAGAATCTGATTTCTTTGACTAGGTCAGGACAAAGTGTTCTTGTTAAGTTTGCAAGAGCTTCAGTACAGCAGTTGTTAAATCAGACTTCTGTTGTTCATTATGTTATTCTGAGTATGTCTGTTGGAATTGTCCATGTGGTTTAATTAATTATACTGCACTCTGACATTGTTCAGATGTCATTGCTTTTATGAGTGAAAGAGATGCTAGAACCTGCATGACATTCTTAAAAATTCCCCCTCCCTTCCAAGGGTGCATGTGTGTGTGGAAATCTCATAAAACTCTGTAACATCTATATCTTTCTACTCTGTGAGCTTAAGGGGAGATGGGCTGTATATAACATTCTGGTAGACTTTTGATGGAACTGTGACTTCTTTTGTTTTATTAGAATGCCGTTCTTTAAACAAGTTGTTCTGTGGTATTCTCTTCCTCCACTTCTATCACTGTTTTTAAATTTTCATCACATTATATCCCTAACTCAATCCAGAATGCACCAAAATTGCTAGCTATTTCTCCTTCCTTCCCTTTCTGTAATTTTGGTATCATAAAGTATATGATAAATGAAATTGAATGCAGATAGTTTACTGATTGAACTGACTGAAACCACAAACTTTTACAATCTGAAGTTTCTACCATAAGAAGGTCATATGGCACCTAATGTGAACGTTATCTTCCTGTCCAAACCTTCAGAAAGCTGTTGTCAGCCTGGATAAATATTATGAAGCTCCATGGAAAAACTCTCTGACCAAGAATAACACAATTATACAATTATGGCCTGCCAAATCCTTGGCAATTTCCTCATTTTAGCAGTTCCAGGATGACAGGTTGCATTCAACTTGGGAGATGTCAAATCAAAGAGATATTGGATCATGTTTTATTAAATGCTATAGAGAAAGCTTTTTGTGGAACATACTTGCTGCAAAATTGAATACATCTTTTTTAAAAAAGCTTCTCATAAATTGAATATTTTTTTTAATGAGACAGATGCCTAATTTTGACATTTTACGACACAATGGCAAATTAGATGAGGAATATTATGTATGTTAAGTTACTAAAGTATCAGTAGGGACATTACTTTTTATAAGTTGCTTTCTCTGTTTTCAAGGTTTTAACATAACAATTTAGTGCAAGTTTTTAAAGACTTTTGCTTTGTTCCATGTAGAATATTTGAAGCATGACAGAGAAAGGGAACTTCTTTGCATCAGTACTTATTGGAGTAAGGCTAAAGTATAGCTCATGCTTGTATAATATAGACATTGTTTCCCTATTGGGTATTTATATCATATGAAATATTTCTGAAAGCAATTGTTTTTAAAAAAGTCTGCATATGAAACTTCAGAATTTGCCATTTGAGCATCAGAGAAATGCAAGTCTTCATGTGTGATTTGCTACTAGTTCTGAATCCATTCTAAAATTTTATTTATAGAGGAAAGAAAGAGAGAGAGAGAGAGAGAGAGAGAGAGAGAGAGAGAGAGAGAGA